AGCAACTTGTCTGTTCCCCTTCCCCCAATTCCCCATCGCTGTTCCCATCCCCCCAATTCCCCAATAAAAATCTTTAAAAAAAAAAAGCTAATGTTTGGGTGAAGAGCTAGATATGGTACTATGAGAAAATAATGCAGTTTTTTATTTTTCCCCCTACAGAAAAGTAGCACTCCTGGGTGATTTTTGCGGAACAGCCCCATGGCCCGCTCCTTGTCGGGGGATGGAATCGGACAATCTACACACTGGACTTACCATGAGGTTTTATGATGGGCAGTAATTCGGTGCAGACATTTCTTGTGGCAAAAAAGTTTGTCTTCAGCGTCACCTCAGCTTGAATGTCAAAGGGTGTGGGATCATTAACTTTCAAAAAGAAAAGGAAACAAAGTCAGGCATTTCCCCCTGAAATTCAGATGACAAAGTGAATCTTACGTCTAATGAAAGGAAAAAGCAAGCTAACAACAATTTTTAAGTCACTAGGCTGGTGGTTCTCAAACTTGAACGGAGTATCTGAATCACCTGCAGGGCCGGTTAACGCAGCTTTCTGGGCGGCACCCTCGGAGTAAGGGAGGAGCCAGAAGATCTGGGGGCGCGGCTCGGCCATTTGCCCTTCGAACGAGTTCTCAGGTGATGCCGCTGCTAACTGGCCTGCGAGCCACAAGAGCCACTTTGGTCACTGCTTCTCGAACTTGAAGGGGCACAGGTGGCCCCTGGGGATTCCGTTAAAATGCATATTCGAATTCAGCAGGTGTGGGGGTGAGACCAGAAGTCCTGTGACTCCAGCGAGTGGCCAGGGTTGCACATGCGCTGGACCAATGCCCACCCTGAGGGGCCAGGCTTCCAGCTCACGTCTTTGTTCCCATAGGTGTCGTCCAGGAAGCGCGGGGATTTATCCACCAATCCCTCAACCATTGGCTCCAGAGGGTGTCAGCCACTTCCCACCTGCGCTCCCAGAAAGCCCACAGACTGGGTTGCCGGTTGTGGCTGCACCGCGACGGTGAGTGCCCAGGACCGGGGGCGGAGGGGATGAAGGCTTGTTTCACAGCACCGTTCGTTTTACTCCGTTCTGCCTGTAGGTTTTTCTTCCCCACTAGGTAGTCAGTGAGGCTGGCCTGTTTACTTCTTTCTACCCGTTCTACCCGCAGCACATGGCAGCTCAATAACTTTCTTAAAAGAGTAATAGAGTAAGTAATCTTGATTACCCCCACCCCCCAAAGTAGCAAAGATGCTACTTAAAACCACTTATGTGTTTGATAACAACCATCAGTTCCTTGGGGGGGGGGGGGGGGAGGGAACAGACTCGCTTCCTTTTTGCTGGAGCCTATCAAAGCTCGCCATTAAACAAAGTCTCCAGTCCACTAATGTGCAAGTGCGCGCTAATCGTGTCTCAGAGATTCATTTCCTGTGCTGGGCAGATGCCTCCTGGCATCTATGAATGCGCCCTTTCAAGGAAAGCGAAAGCCCAAAGTGAGCTTGGAGACCCTTGGCAGAGAAACTGTTTCTTGCATTAGACAAAAAGCTGAACAGCTTAGCAGGGCGTCGCCCCCTCCCAGGAGGCCCGTTCACTTTCAAAACGCAGCAGCCGACAGTTCCGGGCCGGCCCTGGGCAGCCCACAGGCCCGCACAGGCCAGCGGGTGGGCCGGCGGGCGGGGCGAGCTGTGCCCGGTGCCCCGGCCCGCCTGCAGCTGAGCGAACCGCTCCAGCGACTCCGCAGAAGCAAGAACTTGGGGCATCCTGGGGGGGGGGCGCGTGTTGCCCTCCCCCGTCACTCAAGTGGACGTATGGGGGCGCCTGCAGCTCGCTGCCACTCACCCTCGGAAAGCCCAGGGACCTCCCGCTCCCGCACCTACACTTGAAGGCGATGCCCGCGTTGTTGACCAGCACGTTGAGCCCGCCGTACTCCTTGAGCAGGAAGTCGCGCAGGGCGCGGATGCTCTGCAGGTCGTCGATGTCCAGCTGGTGGAAGCGCGGGCTCAGGCCCTCGGCCTGCAGCTGCTGCACGGCCGCCCGGCCCCGGGCCGTGTCCCGCGCGGTGAGCACCACGTCCCCGGAGAACTGCCGGCATAGTTCCCGTGCGATGGCAAAACCGATGCCCTTGTTGGCTCCGGTCACCAGCGCCACGCGGCTGCAGGACGACATGATTGGGTGGGTGGGTGGGTGTCGCGCGGGGCGCTCGCGAGGACAGCAGACGGGCTTGGACACCGCGGGGGGGCACCTGCTTTGGATGCCTGGCCACAGTCAAAGAAGCCGCACAGAGCGGAGTGCTGGGATCCAGTGCTGCTGCGACTTATAGAGAATGAGGTCCCCAGGCCTCAGTCCCTCCCTCCAAGGAGGGGCCTTCTGTTCCCGAAGGTTTCGTAACACCCCACTCCCGGGTCCGCCCCCTCCCCGAGTTGCATCCTTTCTAGAGCCTCCTTTGAGCCAAGCAATGGTCTGCTGGGTGGAGCAGCTGTCGCTCTCCCAAAGCAAAACCCAACGGTGAAGGGTCGATAGGGTCTGGATATTCATGGCATTGAAGAAACTATTTTAGGAGAACCCCAAGTGGAGAAAAACAAGTGCTGAGTAATTTTCTTGGGCATGCGCCCATCATCCCTTGTAAAATGAGAATGTTTGCCTTTTCCTTAAAATGCATTGCAATTATTTAGATACGGTAACTGCTTCTGAGGACATAGATCCCCTTTCTTGCTTAAGAGAAACGCAAGAAAGAGAATTAGAGCAAAAAGGTCCTCTGAATAGATTTACAGGTGTGCGCAGGGTACATTGTTCTGGGTGATTCCCAGTGCGTTCCCGAGGGAGGGAATGTTTATGAAGCTCTAACAGTGTGCCAGGCCTCTTAATGGAATGTTTTTATTTGATCCTTTCAAAACTCTTAGGGCTGCTAAGTGTCTGCATTTTAGGTTTGTCCAAGGAGGATTTCTATAATTTTTTTTTCTCCCAGTGAAATCTGTGTACTCACAAAGTTCAACTGAAAAGGAATTCTCAAAGGTGTGTCAAGGTGTGGATGGGCTTAGAGCTCCCCCACCCACTTTCTTTCTTGTAATCTGAGTGGGTTTGGTCCAAGTGTGTTTGATTGGTGACTTGGCAGGTTTGTGGAAAGCTTTGATCTCATCATGACTCAACTTTCCCCAAACAGAGCTGGCTAAGCTGCTTTTCCTGCCTCTTCTCCATAAAGCCAAAAGGGAAGTCAGGTGGTGTGCACCTGCTCTGTGTGGTTCCCTACTGTGGCTCCACCAGTATTTCTTTCTTCCCCTACAGATTACTTGAAACTCTATTTTGAAGATATAGGGCTATTCAGGTTTTCTGTTTCTTCTTGAGTGAGCTTAATTCATGGTTTTCAAAACATTAGTATATTTCATCTATGTTGTTGGCTCTGTTATGAAATTGTTCATAATATGCTCTTATTAATCCTTTTAATATTAGTAGTGATGCCACCTCTCTCATTCCTGATATTGGTAATTTGTGTCTTTCCTATTTTTTTCCTGATTTGTCTCTAGAGCAGCGGTTCTCAACCTGTGGGTCGTGACCCCTTTGGGGGTCGAACGACCCTTTCACAGGGGTCGCCTAAGACCATCGGCAAACAAAAAGATACTTACATTACGATTCATAACAGTAGCAAAATTACAGTTATAGAGTAGCAACGAAAATAATTTTATGGTTGGGGGTCACTACAACATGAGGAACTGTATTAAGGGGCCGCAGCATTAGGAAGGTTGAGAACCGCTGCTCTAGAGGTTTATCCATTTTACTGATATTTCTCAAGGAAGCAGCTTTTGGTGTCATTGATATTTTTCTCATATTTTCTGGTTCTATTTCTGTTCTAATCTTTATTTCTTTCCTTTCGCTCACTTTGGGTTTATTTTCTCTTTTTCTAGTTTTCTACCATGGAAGCTGAGGTCATTGATTTCAGATCTTTCTTTATTGCAAATGTAGGCATTAAGGGCTATTAATTTCCCCTAAGTACTAAGTTAGTGGCATCCCATGAACATCAATATGTTCTGTTTTCAATTTCAATCGGTTTAAAATAGTTTCTAATTTACTTTTTTGATACTTTTTTTGACCATGGGTATTTAGAAGTATATTTTTTATTTTCCAACTGTTTTGGGGTTTTCTAGATATCTTGCTTCATTGATTTCTCACTTAATTCCATTGTAGTTACAGAACATACTTAGTATGACTTGAATTCTTTTGAAGCGTTGAAAGCTAGGCGAGATTATATTAAAGCACAGTTTTATACAATGGTCAGAATCTCAAAGAGAGGTAAAAATTGATGAAGGAGAGAAGGAAAAATTCAAGAACAAAATATAGAGGGCGCCAAAAAAATGTATACACATTTTAAGAAAGGGATAAACTGTATTACAATTGTAATACTCAATATATACTGATAACAAAAGATGAATACAAGTCATGTGTGTTCATTTTTTTGGCATCCCCGGTATGTGGGAAGGCGAGCAAAAATGGAATCTGGGGCTCAGATTGGGCTTGGCCTTGGACTCAGGCGCCTGTTGTACCAGGAGGGAAGGCAGAGTGGGGTGGCTCTCCTCAAGGGTGTTATTTCCTCTTGGAAAGAAGAGTGATTTGAGGTCATTAGCAAGTGGGACCAGTTTGGGAGATTTGAGGAAAGAATAGCTATGTTGTAGAGTGCAAAAGTGAATGTATTAGGGAACTAGGCAGCACTGACTAGCAAGCAGAATTGGGGGCTCATGTGCTATCTGTGGTCAAAATGTCAAGAGAGGGCCGGCCGAGTGGCGCGATGGTTGGGAGCTCGCTTGGGATGCCAGAGGGCCCCGGTTCGGATCCCACATGTGAGGGCCAGTGACACTGCCCTC